CCTGTGGATGGCTCTTGGGCGTGTGGTTAGTGCTGGCCTTGGCAGTGCTGGCGATGGTTGGACTTGGTGTTCTGGTAGGGCTTTTCCAACCTAAACGATTTTGTGATTCCCAGATGTTGTGAGGGGATGGGAATGTGCTGCAAAGTTGTTTTGAATTGACAAGTCATGACAGCATGTTTATAGGTACAGTTGGGAGAAAAATCAACCACAAAGGGAACTCGGTTTTATTTGTCATTAATTTTGAATTGCTTCAACAGATGTTTGCTGGGAGCTGCTTTAACCTGCTTAATTTGTCTCTGTGTAAAGCAAAACAGATAGCCTCAATTAAGAGACTGATTAGCAAGTTCTTTAATGACTTTCAATAGTTTTAGTCATTATTGCTGATACAGAATACTGAATCCTGGGAACTGGAATTTAGTTATTGTGTAAAAGCTAAAACACGGTGCAGTTGTGTGTGTATAGAGCTTTTTTTTGGTGCCTTTTTTTTTTTTTTTTTGGTAGGGAATGGTGCCTTGGGATGTCCACCATAAACAGGTTTAACTCTAATGAATGGCATTTCCGGCTGCATTGCCAGCAGACCATCTCCAAGGCTGGAATGGGTGACAGGTTGTCATCTCAAAGGTGCATATTCCAGCCGCACAGGCATTCCTGTGTGCACAGGTGCCAGGATCAGTCCTGTCCTGGCAGCTTATCTTGCACAGCTGCTGGAGCTTTCCCCTGGTGCAATCCTGTCACTGCCCCACAGCACACACCAGCTGAAGGCTGTTCTCTGCTGCTGTCCCTGCCACCAGGCTGAAGGGACTGTTTTAGCTGCGTGTTACCTGGCCACGGGCTTGGAACCATGGAGAGTTTGCCTGGGAAGGGCTGGTCCAGCCAGACACATAGTGCACACTTACACTAAGTGCCATGGTGTTCAAAAACCAGCGAGGTGAAATGCTGGGCTGGTGCTGCATTTCACTGGGCACCAGCTGCTGAGGAGCAAGATTTAATTGATTTAATCAGATGTAGAGCTCACACTGTCCTGGCTGCTGCCTGTACTCCCTGGGCAGAGCTTTGCCCTGCACCTCCAGCGTGGGTTTTGGGACCCCCTGGCAGCAGAGCTGGGACACGAGCGTTGGGAGCTGCGGACTCACAGTGATCCCCTCCATCACCTGAGAAAGGCCAGGCTGGGGAGTTCTCCCCGAAGTGGTGACAACACAGAACATTTACAGCTCCTTCCTTGGTTCTCAGGTAGGAGCTGCGTATCTTTTTCCAGATATATCAAAAGTTAAGTGTTCCTTGACTTACTGAAATCCATTACTTCTCCCTGCATATCTGGCCTCTCAAGCATCCTCTTGCCTTTGGCACTGCCACACCAGCGCTGGTGGCAGTGACTGGGCACATCCATGGGGCTCTTTCATTGGGGCCTGGATGCTGAAGGACCTGTTGTGTCTCACAGCTCTGTGATGTCTGGGACTGTTCTTTGGTTTCTGTTAAACATAAACACTCCATGATTCCTGTTTAGTGGGAATGCTGCTTGCACTAAGAGGGCAGCCAAATTTTTTAAAAAATAAATAATTGTTTTGAGGGCCACCATTTAAAAGCAAACAAACAAAGATACTGAGAAATTACATGCTAAAAAAGTTGCAAGCTGGCTACACAAAACAGCCAATCATTTCTGGAAATCTTGACCAGCAATATTTTGTCCTTGTTTGGCACTGCTCAGCTCACACATCGTAATGCCATCTCCTGGAGCCAATGTGTGCTTTGATCACTGAGAATTAAGTCAATAAATGAATGTAGAGAACTCAGCCAAGGGCAAAAATGAGTCTTTACAGTGCTGTGAAAAGGTGTTATTTATTTATTTCTATTGTCACTCAGGGAATGCTGCCACAGTCACAATGAAAGTAATGATTTGTGGCTGAAAATTGCATTTTAGACAGATGAGACCATTTTTTTCTGCTAAAAGGAGAAAAATAAAGCAAACAGAGGAAAGAAGGTCTGGGAGAAGGAGCCACAGGAAAGCAGTAAATTCCAAACCAGAAGGACCAAGTGTGCTGTGCAGGTAATCTCTCTGAAGGCTGATGGTGAGCAGCAGCCCTAGTGAGGGGAGGTGTGCGGTCTGCAGACTGGGCTGTGAGATGAGCCCTAGTGATCTTAGTGTGCAGTCAAAATCCGTTTTGGTGATCTGTTCTCAAGCTCCTTTCAGCCTGGGAAGTTTGGGAGGAAGGTTGCGCTGTGCTGAGGGGAGGGTCTTTGGCAGAGCCTCGTGGTGGCCCCGCTCTGGGTGGTCCAAGCCGCAGTGCCCAGCACCAAGAGCAGCCTCTGCAGGGGCAATGCAAACAGGGAATGACAGCGATCCTTCCCAGGTGCTATTAAACTGTGCCACTGCCTCCAGAACAACACTTAGGCAATATTTAATCCAGGAAATGTTTATAGCCAAACCTTGTTTCAGCTGCATTTCAATATGTGAAGCTCTTACCTCTCTGTTGGTGAGCAAAACTCCTTGAGTTTTTGCAGATGTGCAATGTGGATATAATAATCTCTGGAAATGTGTTTTGTGTAAGTGATTATTTTCAAGGATCAAAGAAGAAAACAAACCTTCAGTTCTGGTTGGGATTTTGGTTTCACCAGTCGAAGTGCTTTTTCTTCTAGGACATCATAAACAATCTGTTCAACTGTGGAAGGACCTGTCAAGAGACATCTGTGGAGACGTGAGGTAACGAGTGGAACAGCACACACGGGCCAACCCTCAGGCTGAGCTCATTAAAAGGCACTGCTGACACACATGCTACAGGTTTTTAATGGAGTTTTATTTGTAATTGTTACATCAACACCTACCATGGTTACAGCAGAACAGACCCAGAAGGATTGATTTCTTCTGCAGGTGGTTTTGAGTCTCTTTATTTTGAGCAGCTAACACTGCAAGGTTTTTTTCTCTCTGTCTCTCAGTCAGGCCATTGCTCTGCCTTCTGCTCGTTGAGTCCCTTCCTAAGTCCAGCACTCATGACAAGGACTGTGCATCAAGAGTGTGGGCAAGGGCTCTGCTTGTCTGGAGCCAGTTTTTAAAGACAGTGTTACAGGGAAGCTGAAAGTTATTTTTTTCAGTAGAGCAGTGGGATGATAAGGCAGTAAAAGTGGTGAACGAGTCCTGACAGTAATCATGGCGTACTGTGTACTTGGAATAACCTGCTCCAAACATTCCCCAGCTGCTGGTTCTAAGGGGAGGCTGGAGGTCAGAAAAACGCTCCAAACCCTTCAGCTCTGCAGGGGCACAGACCTGAGTCCTGGCCAGCTCTTCACACCAGAGGGAGGGCACCGTCACCTGGTGATGCTGGTATGGACTGACACAAAGCCCCACATCTGAGTGACATCTGGACCCTTTGGTTGGAGGAGTCAGCCCAAGGCTGAAGGGGACATGTGATGTCAGAAAGCAAGAAGAGACACAGGCATATCTGGTCATTAGCCTTAAAATTGGTCTAAAAAAGCCTCCATTTTTTCATTAGAGCAAAATTGCAAGGATTGTCTGTAACAGCGGAATGGCAGCTGATGACTTTGTTTGGATTTGCTGTGGCAGGGCCTTTGCGAGGACACGCTAGCGATGGGAGCCTCCCACCAGGTGTGTGTGGGCACAGGCTGGTCCGGGGGCAGGGGCAGGGGCTGTGACCCCGGCAGGGCAGGGCAAGGAGCCCACGCAGCCCTCGTGTCCCACGGGCTGGGCACTGGGAATGCTGCCACGGGTCTCTGCGCAGCCCCAGCCCAGGAAGGAGCCACGTCTGGAACAGGGTGCAGCTGGGCAGGGCCGCAGCCCCACACTATTTCTGCTGTTTATCTGGTCAGGGCCAGTCTGTTGTGTGGACAGATTGTTCTTGTCTCAAGGTATTTGGAGTGGATAATCTGATCAGTGCCAGTCCGTTCTTGGCTTCTCTGTCCACCTGCTGACTCCCTTGTGTCACCCTTCTGGTGCTTCATCCATCTGTCAAGAATGTACTTACAAAATGCATTAAAATAAATCACCGGGATTTTATGTGCACAGGGATCCTGTTTCCAGCATCTCAAACCCCAATAAATACCTGTGTCTGCAGTAACAGTGTTGTAAAGTCCTGCACTAGTGATTTACAGGAATGGCATGATGCCTGGGGAGCAGCCTTTTGGCATTCAGATTTGGTGGTTTTCAGGGTTCATTTTATACCTTGTTGTTGAGTAATACAGATTTGCAGTGCGTGTGCATGTGCTGAGCACTGTTATCAATATCACTGTTATATTCAGGTGCAGAGCACAGCAACAGCTTCTATGGAATTATTGCCTGACTGAAGAAGTTCATAGCTGAGACCTGGGGCTACAGAAATACTACAGATTCAGGCATTTGTTATTTTCCGGATTATTGATTTTTCATGGGGAAGAAGAGGGTGACCCTTTGAGGAGTGGGTTGACTGACCCAGGGATTAAGATCTTTGTATGTTTTGTCCAGATAGTGAGCAATGTGATACAAAAAGATTTGAATGCATTCAGCACAGTCAAACACAGCAAGATCTGAACAAACCCTGAGGACACCAGGACAGCCAACCTGAAATACAGGTCAATAGTTTCAAATTTGGTGTAAGTTCTTTTTGCCTAATTAATCTGTATCTGTCTATATGTAAATGAGAGGGAGAGGCAGAAAGCTGATTGCTGCTGAAAGGTCCCTGAGGCTGAAAGAAAACACCTCCAGCTTGTGGCTAATTATTTTTTCCCTCTGGAAGATAAGCAAACACGGAGTTTATTTGACCTGCGCACCTTGTACCAGACTCTCTTTCCAAATGCTGTTCTTTAAAACAGCAATTAAAATATTAGAGACAGGGAAGAAAATGCTGCTGGAAGCACAGCAGCACAGCGAGGCAGGAAGGAGATGGGAATGGCCTGAAATCACAGCTGCTGCTCGAGGTGTTCGCAGCCTGTGGCTGTGCCCGTGCTGGATTTCCAGCCTTGCTGAGCCTCCTCAGGTCTCATGACATCTGCTGTTTCCTCCCTGAGAGCCCAAGCCAGCAAGTGCGGAGCTGTGAACTCATCACTCCAGCACAAGGTTCCATTCTCCAGGGCAGCCAGGCACAGCTACAGGCTGGTGCCAAGGGCTGTGACTGCCTCTGTCTCATTCACTGCTCTCCATCCCTCCCCAAGGTGAGCTCTAATCCTCAGGGAGATATCAGGATATCTGATTTATGCAAGAATCTGTAATAAACTGGCAACAGTTATGTCTGTAGCTAATGGGAATGTAAATTTTCAGATAACATATGTTAGTAATGATAAGCAAAACCTCTGATAAGAACACCCCCCCACCAGAGAAGAAAACTCAGCTCTGCTTACTGCAGTGATGCTGCCCCTTGCTGTCAGGAGCTTCCCTGAAGGATGAATTTGTGGTGTAGAAGTGGCTACTGAGACTGAAAGTGTCTGTCTTGACAGAGACCTTGTTCTTCTCAAGCAGGTGAGTTGGTTGTGCCTGTGTGTCGTGTCTCCGTTTAGCCTGGAAGGAGGCAGAGAAGGGGCCTTGCTGATTTACATTCTGATTTACCTTGCTGATTTACATTCTGATTTACCTTTCTGATTTACTTTTCTGATTTATTTTTCTGATACACATTCTGTTGCATCTTTGGGAAATAAATCTGAAAATGCAATGCCCAGGCAGTGCTCACGGCAATGATGGGGAGAGCTGTGGCACACAGCTGCTCCCACCAGTGACTGACTGGGGCCCAGGGGCTCCAGATGGGGCTTTGATCATCTTTGGATGGTTCTGAAATGCACGGATTTGCTCCCTCCGTCCTAAAGGCTTCATAACAAATCCATGGTCTCGCTCTTCAGAGGGAGGTTAAGATGTGACTGACTGTGCTGCTGAGCAAATGGCTTTGCTTTGTGGTGTTTCTATTAGGCTTGAAAGCAAGTATCACTGCCTGGCCTAAGAGGAGGTTTATATTTCATGTAATGGAGGCTATACATCCCGATGTGCATTTGTAATGCACTGGTGGAATCTGTCATAGGAGCATCCAGACCTCTTAAACACGCACTAAATTTAACTTTAAAGCAATGCTAATTCAGGGGGAAAAACCAGTATGCATCATCTGTCGTCAATCTGATAGTCTGTGATATGTGTAACCAATTGTTCTTATTTACATTAATTTGCATTGTGAAAAGCAATTTTACAGTTTCAGTCAGACTTAATAGGCAATTTGCAGCTCCCTGCCTAATGGCGCAGTTACTTAAGCCTGCCCCAGGGTGCTTTCGAGACCTGAGAGGAGACTAAACCTTTTAAATGTTCAATTGAACAGCTTAAAAAGTCAGGAAGTCCTCAGCTGTTAGCTCTGGCTCCTGCCTGCCTTGTCATATTTGACATTGTTGCTTCAGATGCCCTTTGATTCGGATATATTTTGCCCTAGACAGCCGAAACGCTGATCTGATCCTGCAGAACATCGTGGCACCAGTGGCTCCCAGCCTGCAGAGACCCGGTGCTCGAGGAAGGGCAAGGTAAGAGTGTCCCCCAAACCTCGCTGTGGCATTTGTGGGTCACTGCATGTGCTACCTGTGTTTAATGACTGAATTTGCACCGAGGCGTCTCACCTCAATGACCCATTTCTGCATTTATGAACACATGAACCGCCCTGGGTAGGTGTGATAAAAGCAAATTCTACACAGTGATTGAATGAAAGCCCTTAATTTGCAGCAATTTTTCTTCAGGTTGGATGTTTATGGGCAAATTGTAAAGTAAGCAGCAGAGGCTGTTGTGATTTCATCACTCTCAAGCACTGCCTAAGAAAGGTCTCTGCCCCATCCAGGAGATTCTCATTGTTTAAGAATTGTTTTCCTTGCTGCAGAGGTGCTTTGGGAAGGCTGTAAGCAGGTTCTGTGGGGAAGAGCTCTGGCTTTGTGCAGTACAGATGAGGGGGGAAGTAACAAATACCTTCTCAAGAGCTGGAGCACCACTTAAATCCTTACTCTGGTAAGGAGTGAAGGTCACAGGATGTCTGAAGTTGTGCATTGTATGAAGAATGCAATGTACACGAGACTGAAGCAGGCCACTGGTGGTGGTCAGTGGTCACAACCATGGTTGTTTCTCTGTCCTTTGTATACAGAGGGTCATGTGAAATCACAGAATCCTCAGTGTTGGAAAAGACCTACGAGGTCGTCCAATCCAACTGCAACCCACCCCCACCATAATCACCCCTAAACCATTCCACAGAGTGCCACTTGGCAGTTGGAACAAGAGCAGTTTTGTAAGAACTGCACAAGGGTTGGGCTGTTTGGTATGTTTGTACTAACGGCTGATGGAGAGCTGCGATTCCCACGCACCCTCGTGCCAACACGGGTGTGTTTGAGGTGACTGTCACTCAGTGCCCGTGGTGGGACAGTGATCCTCTGCCACACCCAGCAGTGTTTGCTCCCAGCATGCTTCCAGATGCTGAGGTATTGATTTTGTACCCATGCTGATGTCACATAAAGATGTGCCCCAGTGAACTCATTCATGACCCCCATCCTGCTTCTTTAGGAGCTTGCTTTATTCCTGCAAGAGGGTTTTACTTCAAAAGCTGTTGCAATTCACTTCACAGCAGAGTACTAGAGAGATTCCAGAGCAGTGCTACAGCTCCTGGGCATATCTGGTGTTTGCAGCATTGTGTGGAGGAGCACGGAGAGATAGTCAGGGGAAGTTCCTGATCAAATCATTCCATGTCCTCACTCACAGAGTCCCTTATCTACAATTAGCTCAAAGAGTTTGAGGCTGTGAATATCCCTGCCACTTTCATGAAAAATAGCTGAAGTAGAATTATGCTTTTGTAACATTTTTCAACCAGATCTGGCTAGTTTGAGGCCATCTGAGCTTTGTGATGCATGGAGGTGGTGTAGGTAGCCGAGGCAATCTGGCACTGTCTATATTTGTACTTCAGAATAGCAGAGATCCAACCAATTTTCAGTTTTAAACTTTTTTTTTTTAGGATGGCCTTGTTGTTTTCTCATGGATACATAATTAAAAAGCATGAAAGTTCAGAAGCCAAAGTGTGAGAGGTTGAAACCAGCTCATTTAAATGAGAGGTCTGGGACATATTCACAGCACTGGCATGAATCTTCACTGCCTTTTGGAGGTTCACTTGTAACACAGCTGATATTTTTAGCTTTTTGTGGGAAATAGTGACCATTGCAGCTGCACAGGGTGTGACCTGTGTTCCGTGGCTGAAAGCAGTGCTAGACCTGGGGCAGGAGGATGGCTGGAGCTCCTCTTCCACCCAGGCTCAGACAGCGTTGGTCAAGGTCTGCCATGCCCCAGGGATGATTCACTGCAGCCCACCACTCTCACAGGTGACTTTGCTGTTGTCCTTTGGCACCACCTCCTCTGGCAATCCTGCTGCAGTGTTTGCCACAAAACCCTACCAGGAATAATATTTTTTTCAACCTGCTCTGGATTGTTCCTCTGCACTGACCAAGAAGTCCCTACCTACCTGGAGAACAAGGCTGTGACCTGAGGTAGCCTTGCACTGCTGAGGTTTGGATTGCTGCTCCACACTCTGGGGTGTTCATTCACCGTCCCAACGGTGCTGGAAGCAGCTGCTGCTGTTGGCCACATGTTTTAGAAGCAGGATATGGTGAAGCTGCCACCCAGTCTGTGTTCTGCTGCTCGGACCCCTGGCCCTCTGCACAGCTCTGTAAGGCAGGAGGGTTTTATGTTTTGGAGTCTGTAGTCTCTAAAATGCAGAGGCAGCATTTAAGAAAAAAATAAAAATAATGCAGGGTTAGATACAGTTGTACTCTTTTACCTTTAAATCAAGGGCTGATGGGGACAATTTCTAGTTTGCAGCACAGTGCAGACACAAAGCTGTTGGTTAACATTTCATGCACAGCAGCCTGCAGATACAGGATGGCATGTTATGGGCTTGTACTCCTGTTTCTGTGAAGATGACTTGCTGCAGCTCAGCCCTCTGATAAAGGACACTGGGCTTTTCATCTTTCTTTGATTTTTGAAGATGAGTTTCATCAGCTGAGCTGAAAACCCTCTGGTTCAAGCTGAACACTGAGTACATTCCTTAAAGCATAGAGGACTGCTCAGGGAAGACATGAGTCTGTTAATCACTTGGATGTATAATGACCTTCCTGCCTGTCTCTTGCAGGGGTTGGCCATGGCTGTCTGCACGGTGACACCACGGAGTGTTTGTCCCCAGCCTGGGAGAGAAGCAGACATGTGCTCTCTGGAGGTGGGCACAGAGGAGCAGCACCCACAGAGAATGGGATTGGTGAGCAGAAAAAACCCAGAGAATAGAACTATAGAACTGGATCAGTAGTAGATTGCTGTGGAAGTGGGGCTGGTGCCAGCAGTGCCCAGCAGGTTGGTGCTGGCAGAGCGAGCCCCAGTGCCATGTGTGTCCCTTTGTGCTCGGTCTGGCCCTGCCCTCCCTGCAGGAGCCAGGGGACCGTGGGATGAGCCAGCTCTGAGAGCTCTGCACCAGCCAGAGGAGGTGACATTCTTCTTTAAAGCACTGATATACACACAGAGGGGTCTGGCATTTCGATTGGCTGAAATTAATCTTGTGCAGATTGCACAGCTGCACCCTGGGCACACACAGGGTCTAGGCAGGGACTCTGGGGGGCAGGAGGGGACAGGCAATACCTGGGCAATACCTCTGTACTAAAATAAGCATGGCCTCGAGCACAGGGTCAGTCAGACGAGGCTGGCTGTGGCTGGATCACTTGCTTCTGTCTTGAGGAGGAACGCATAGAGGTGCTGCTGTAATACAGCCTGTGAGCTGTGTAATGATAGAAAAACACTGGTGAATTTACCCTGAATGGTTCAGATACACTGAGAATCCTGGTCTCACTGTCATTTACTTTTCTTTCCCATCCACGGAGCTGCATCCTTCCCAGATAACTCCAGTGTCTACTTTGAAGGTTCTATGTTTTCCTCTTTGTTTCCCTCATTGTTTCCTCCCTGCTAGACATTGAAACAGAGAGATGCCTCCATCAGCTCTCTTGGCAAGGCTCCTTGCCTGTTCTCAGAACACCCACACCCGAGCAGCTTGACTGTGGGTTTTCAGTGAACTGCTGGGGAAGCTGCTTTGTGACAAAAGTATGATTAATGATTGCTTTTGCATGTTTCTTATAAATGAGATGCTCTGTCACCAAATAAATACACAAATAAATGGGCTGGGTGTAAAAGAACATGTTTTTCACCAAAAATGACATCCTCAGTTGTAAATTTTAACAGATGTCATGAAACTGAAGATATTATAATCTATTACAAAAACCCTTTCAAATTCTATTTTAATTAACTGGCAAAGCCATCAGAACTCTTGGAGAGAAAATGATATGTGCATGTATCTCAGGAATCTCCTGAATGTGATCAGGAGGATGTGATTGCCATGGTTGGAAGATGAAGGGCTGGGGAACAGAAGTCAAGAGCAGGTGCTGCTGTCACAAAGCATAGCTGATACTTAGCAAAGGAACTCTGGCATGGAAAGCAACTGAGAAAAAATTGGTGCCTTAAAACCCCTTCATTCTCCAGCAGCAACAGGGGAAGGTGCTGCAGCTGAACCAGCACTCTGCAGCCAGGTCGGGTTAACCAGCTCAGTTATCCTACAATTTAGGCTAAAGGGAACGAGCAGAAATTAGAGTTTGACCAGTGTTATGAATGGGCTGTAAGGGGTGGCTCATGCAAATGAGCAGGAGTTATTAGGTATGGTGGGAAGAAGTTCTGTTAAAGTTTATAGTTCTTTTGACATGTGCTTTTGCTGTCCCAGTTTGATCTAGAGCCCTTTTCTGAGCGGGGACAGCTGCAGCTGGGAGGCCTGACAGGGTGACACCCCAGCAGCAACCAGGCCGTGAGATGGGCTCCGCCAGCGAGAGGCACAGACGGACTGACTGACAGGCCCTAATTATACCGGCGAGGCCACGCCCATGGGAGGAGCCAATGTACATAATTGGGCAAGCCAGAGGCTATATACAGGCTGCTCATGAATATTAATGCAACTGTTGCAACCTTGGGCCTATAAAAGGCTGAGATGTCATTTTTGTGAGCTGAGCCTCTGGTGGGCAGAAGGAGCCCCATGGAGCTCCCAGCGCCATCTCCCTTCTGCTTTGTGTTTTTAATTGGTTCTTAATAAAACTTTTATTACCCATTCCCACCTGGCATCTGAGTTGTTCCTAACATCAGTGAGAAATAATTGTGAGTTTGTTTCAACACGGGTGAAAGGAAGCAAGCGCCACAGCAGTGGTACCAGCCAGGAGGCTGCACCGTGCTTTGGAAACTCGTCCTCACACATTCAGACCTGGGGTTTGGGGGAACCCCAGTGTTGCTCTGATTTTTAAAAGTGTTAAGTTTTATTTTCTAATTATTTTCAAAATTTTCTATTAGAAATATGTAAACTTCTACTGGAGTTCTCACACACTGTTCATGTAAATAATGATTGTTTACCTTCTTCTTTGTGGGAAAAGAGAATTCATAGACTGTTAGTTTGACCAGTGTGGTTGGAGAGGTGGTAATTCCATCCTCCAACCCACTGTCACTTTTAGAATTCTATATATTGCAAGGTCAGAAATAAAACCGTCTCTTTTTTCTCTTTTAAACTTATCAAGCTTCTGTGTACTCCTTTTGTGTCCAACAACAGCAGCCCAGGCCGTTCCTGCTGTGGGAAGCAACAGCCAGGAGTGCCCCGTGCCAGGCAGCGCTGCCAGCCCCCATGTGCCGTGGGACAGGCTTGCCCAGCCTCCACTTGCAAGTGCACGGTCCCCTCGCTGTCCCCTCTAAATCGGATATTCTGGATGATGCCTCCAGTACATTTGACTTCTAATGTGTCCCACTCGTGTTAGAAAAGACGCTTTTTAGAGAGGATCACATCTTCTGAATGGCTGTGTCAGCTGCTTAGCTGGGAAGTGAAGTGCCTAGAAAAATCTGATCCTGCTGCCTTCCAGGGAAATGGTGGGAAGTCCCTTCCTCCTGGATTGAGGCCACTCTGAAAAAGATGCCAGGATTTAGCCCTGGATTTATCTCAACTACAGTCATTCCGGAGCTTCCCAAGCTTTTGGTACTTACAGTAAATAATTCTAATGCAACTTTGCAGCACCAAAGTAAACACGTCGAGCTTGGCAGACAGCTTGGATAAACCTGCTCTGTTCAATCATAAGGTCAAACTGAATAAATTTCCACCTTCTTCAAAGAAAATTGTGAGTGAATATTGAGGCTGAAGGGATTTTAACTTCCTTGACAGGGAAGCTTTAGTTACATCAAGGAACAATGAGCAGTTGAAAGATGCAATTTTGGTTCTAAAAGGACTACAGCAAGTACATATTGAAAGACAAAATAATTCTCGCTATTCACCACACTATAATATTTAAATACATGCAGCATTTATATAGTAATTCTTATTTCTAGAGTCAGCTGATGGCTCTGAAGCAGTCCTCACACAACCTGCCACATCCTTGAGTTGCCCAGGAAAACAGTACAGGAAACTGTTCCCTGGCAGAGCTGTCACCCTGTTCTGGAGCCATAAGTGGCAGTAAATGGAGCTCCGGGGATGGGGAGGTCACTGCAGGGTGTTTGGAAAGGAAAGAACTATTTTGTGTCTCTTTAGAGACTTTTCTCTATTTATTGGTGTGTGTTTTTTAGCAGCCGGGTAATGGGCCTCAGAAAAAAGTGTTGTTTAAGGAAAATAGCAGTGGTTTGGGGTGGAAATAACTGAATCAAAAGTTCTGGGAAACCATGGCTGTTCCTTAGGCATTGAAATAGATATGCTGCTAAGAGCAAAGCAATTTTTTCTAATTCCAAAATCCCAGTTCGCGAGATGCTAAATCATCCTCCGGCTTAACACAACAGTCTCTTGGCAACTGCACATGCTTATCTTGAAAGATTCACTTTACCAGCAGATTGAATTCTCAGAAAAGAGGCCAAACATAAAGATGTTAGAAATCAAAGCAAAAATCCAAAAGGATTTTGAGGCTTGATTTGGTTAGGCATCATAATGTTTGGATATTTATTTGAAACTTATTCAAGCTGCTTAAATCTAAAATGGGGTAATAGGCTCTATCCCCGCTCGGTGATGGGAGTCTTGGCACATACAGTTCCAAATTGCATTGACCTTTTGGGCTGCCAAATTCTATTGCATTTTCATGTCTAATTTACTGTCCAACCCAGCCCCAAGGTCTCCAGCTTTACTGCTTTTCTAGGTTTCCATTTCCTGTTCAATATATACTTCCCCCCCTTGCTTCATAGGTTTCATTTTTCCCTTATTAAGTCCCATAGTATTACTCAGAATTTTAGAGAGTGATACAGGAGATCAGACTGACAATCCATCCCTTTTGTTATTCTTTCTTCTATCATTTGCCAGGCTCAGATGCTTCAGAAGACACAGGAATACACAGAAATGGAGATTTCTGTGGAGAAATGGATATAGAGATCATGGTCTCCATGATTATGGAGACGTTTATCCACAGGAAAATCTCTTAGTGTATTTCTGTGCAATATCTTGCAGAGGGGTTTGTATCCTCTTCCATAAAACCCAGCTGAAATAAGTGTTTCACTTTGGCACTGATCTACATATTCATGTTTTTCTGAATCCTGTAAAATATATGCTCTCAGCAATATCCATTGGCAATGAGTTCTACAGGTGCATTCTGGAGGTTTTTTGGGTGTCTGTGTCCACAGAGTATTTCCTCTGATATTGCTGGTATGATCTATCTTTGGTGGCTTGCTAATTTCCCAGAGAGGTGTCACTTGTGATTGTCATTACGTGGTGTCAGCTCCTTTTGAGTGCCAGGAGGCTACTGTGCAGTGTGAGCCACAATGCACATCCTCCCTCGGGCTGTAAAGTGCATTTGTGCAAAGGATGCTTTTAAACACATTTTAAATTGTATTGTGAAGGATGGGGAGCTCAGGGACTGCCTGCCAGGGGAGGAAGCTGTGGGATGGGGGTCCCCTGTGTCACTGAGCCCTTGCCCCCAGCACGGGTGCCTGTGGGGGCTGTGAGGGGACAGTGGGTGGTGGGTGCTGTGGGTGCTGTGACAGGCTGTGGGTGCCGTGGGTTCCTGTGGGTGCTGTGGGTGCCGTGGGTTCCTGGGGGCTCCTGGGGCGGCTCTGCTGCCTGTGCAGTGGGATGGACGGGCTCAGGTGAGCACTGGGAGCCCATCTCCAGGCTGGAGCTTTGGTGCCTGAGTCAGACCCGAGCTTGGAGTTACTGGGACTTTGCCTCTTCCCTTTATTTCCTTGTTTCAGCCCTTGAGTCTTCTGGACTGTTGGGACCTTTGCAGATGTTCCTGGCAGCCCTTCCTGGCTCACACTCACTTTCCTTCTCTGTCTTGGGTGCTTTTGATCCGTGCACGGGATTTACTGGTTTAATTAATCTAATCTCTGCAGTATCATCCTGCAAACTGAAATAATTCCTGACAATGTTTTGTTGATCCCTGTGACTGGCGAATGCCAGCAAAGTGATGTGACAGCATATGGCAGAATTTCTTATCTCTGATGGCTCAGTTTAGCATTTTAGAGGTTTTTTTCAAGTCTTTTTCCTTTTAATCAGAATTGTCTACTTGCTAAGAGATTAGGCTGGTTTTGCGTGTTTCCCCTTTGATAAAACTATACGATTTAATGTTCTGTGAAATCCTGTTGTGTTCCCACAGACTTTTCCAGGAGCAAACTTCACACACAAATCACCGGGTGTTGCTGCAGTGAAAGGCAGTGGTGGAGTGCACAGGCTTGAAGCATTAAGAGTTGTTTATTTTTAAATGCTTGCAGAAAGGATAATGTTCTTTAATTCAGTACCTGTCTGTATCGTTCCAGGACTGCTGCCAGCAATGGCAATGCCATGATTTCAGCTCTCAGTGATCACTCCCAGTGGTGTCCCATCGCCAGTCAGGTGGGAGCTGTGGCGATGGCCCATGGATGTGCTGGAGAATTTCCATCCCAGTGACTGGTATGACAGGTATTTACTGGGATGGCCCATGGATGTGCTGGAGAATTTCCATCCCAGTGACTGGTATGACAGGTATTTACTGGGATGGCCCATGGCTGGAGCATTTCCATCCCAGGGACTGGTATTACAGGGTGCTCTGCTTGGGCAGGATCTAATGCTGAAAAGTTTGATGTCCAAGCCACAAAGGATGGTGACAGCAGCCCACCCTGGCTATGAACCTCTTGTTCCAGTGGGTTTTGCTGGAAGCAGGGTCAGGCCCGGAGCCCACAGAGCGTCACAGCCATCGGTGCTGCCCAGCACTGCAGCACAGGACAGCACCAGTGTCTGCAGCTCTGCTCCTAATCCACACATCAGCTAAAGTGGATTTGATTCTGAGAAGTCTTATGGACCCCAATAAGGATCAGTAATCATTAAAATTAGCCACATGCTGATTTAATCAACATATAGCTTTGTTAATTACCAGCTCTTTCTTTATGTCCATCTGTTTTGAAGATTTTAGTGAACCTGCAGCAGCTGTTCATGTAAATATAATAAGCTGGTTGCCGTGTAAATATAAAATTTTCAGGAGTATTTGTGTATCAGGCACCCAATTTATTTGTGCTGTTGTCAGAATCATGTCTTCAGGGGCTTAAATGCACAAGTGATAACCTTGTTATAATCCATGCTGGAGGCAGTGTCTGCTGCTGGGCCATCCCCCTGTCTGGCCTTGCTCCACACCCCACTCCTGGCATTCCTGCTGCATGGCTGGGCCCAGCATTCCAGCATTCCAGCATTCCAGCACTGCCTGGGAACTGCCACCCAAGCATGAAATCGGACCTGTCTATTCATGCTCCCTTCCAAAGCATGAACAGTTAATTCTGCTCTCAAGCTGAACACCCTCCACGGGGTTCAAGGGAGTGGGTCCTCACTCTGAGTGTGGTGGGTGCAGCCAGCATTCCAGAGTGGATCCCCATTCCATTCCATTCCATTCCATTCCATTCCATTCCATTCCATTCCATTCCATTCCATTCCATTCCATTCCATTCCATTCCATTCCATTCCATTCCATTCCACCCCACCCCATCCCATTATCCCATCCCATCCACTCCCTGTGCCCAGCCTGGCTCTGGTGAGGCCGAGGGCAGTTGCCAGCCCAGCCTGGAGCACAAATGTGCCCAGGGTTTATGCTTCCATCCCAATAAACACCTCCAGGTGCTCAGCTCCCTCTCTCTGGCACA